GATTCACAATCATTCAATTATTAAAATAGAATCATCAGGAAAGAGGAGTTATAAATGATCCAGAAAAGCAATTCTAAAAACAAGCCATTCTCTATTCCATACCAGGGTCAGGCATTGAATATCAATGAATGGTTATAAAAATAGGGAAATGGGTGGGGATGAGGCAGCTACAAACTTTTCAATAAGCTAATTGTGATTGACTCAAGATTGTACGAGAGGGGAAATTAATTTGATTTTGGTGGGCAGGGTTGTTCCATCTTTGGATTTGGGTCTCTTAAAATAAGACATAGGGGAGAAGTTATGGAAATCTAAATGATTCAAGAAATTAAACAGGTCCTCCAATATAGGAGTAATTGAAAGAAAAGAAGAGTGTTAGGACTGCAAATGGAAGGAATGCAACTCCATCACACTGAATGACTTACGACGGAGCTTGAGTATAAGGAGCTGTGTTGAAAGACAACATTATATGGGATATTATTGTGGCAATGGAGATTATACTAACGAGATGGTCTCCTGGCATGTAATAGCTCTGTAGGTTTTTTCCCTCATGTTCCTCCAAATTCAGCAGGCACCTCATTCTCAGTTTCCCAGAGACTGGCTGGGACATCAGCAGCAGCAGAAGCAGAAGGAGGAGGTCCATAATTCATGGGGCTGAATCAATCCCCTTCCTGTTTCTAAGGAAGAACAAGAGCATTCGAAGAATTCAAAGCACCATTCAAAAATGGAAACGAGAGTGACTTTCTTGATTGAGAGAGAGATTACCAGAACTTCGTCTGGAAAGGAAAGAAAGGAAAGGTACATTCAAGAAGCACAGTCCCTGAATGTCCCAAAATTTGTGCCACCCGAAGTGTGACCTGAGTCATTTATCCTTTTCTGATGCAAGATCCCTTTCAAGTTGCTTCAGTCTGATGTTTACATCAAAGGCGATCACTGGCGAAATATCAGGAGAGATCTCACAGATCAGGATTTTAATAATTACTGTAAGAAGCAACATTTCCTCTGGGAATCCTGAACTATCTCTGGGCCTCCACATGCAGAGGAGAAGCTGGAGATAAGCATAGTGAAAAATCATAGATATACCCCTAGAGGGCACTGGTCTGAAGTGGTTTTGGTCCTTCTTTACTGGACAAGACTAGAAAGTGATGCTAAAGAAAGATATTTCAACACCCAGGAAATTGGGTGTTGTCCTTCAATGTACTCTCTTGTCCCCAGAGACTCCTGGGGAAGGTCACCCAGAACTATAGAGTTTGGTTACACCTTATTTTCAGACGTGGAAGCCATCTTTTACATTTGGGCCTTCAGGCCTGCCACATTTTCTACTGTGGGAAAATGGGAGGTGGGATTGCATAGAGCAGTGGTCACCAACCGGTGGTCCGTGGTGCAGTGGTGTTCTACAAGAAAATTTTGGTGATCTGCAGTGCACCAGGGTGGAGGAGCTCCTCCGGTATGAGTCACAGTCTTGTGACTAGAGCTCTGGAATATGGAACTCGCCAGGCAGCTCATGGTGGGGCTGTAAATCTTCCCTGTAGAGGGAGGTTCATGCAACTTGCATCTTTATAGCACAGCCCTCGCTGGCCGGAATGAGATAATGGTGCAAGGGGGGGGGGTAGCAGTGAAGGGCTGTTTCTTCCCCCTGTTGTAGCTTCCTGTCAGCTGAACCCACCAGTAGCTGTCCCCACCCCTCGTTCTCCCTTCTCAGTCACTCCTCACCTGGCAAGGGAAGGGCAGAGGATGGAGATTCACTCCATATTCCAGAATAAGAGTGAAGTTTTGTCTCTTGCTGGATCTTGCAGCCATTTCTTCCGGCCCTTTTTGGTGCTCTGCGCACCTCGGTCTCTCAGGGAGATGCTTGACTTCCTCTCAGCCCCAAGACACTGGCTGGCCCATGAGATGAGAGAGAGAAAGAGAATCAGAGAGAGAGAGAATCAGAGAGAGAATGAAAGAGAGAGAGAATGAGAAAGAGTGGGAGAGAGAGAAAGAAAGGGGGAGAGAGATGAGAGAGGAAAAGAGGGGGAAGAGAGATGAGACAGAGAGAAAGAGAGATGGAGAGAGAGAAAGAGAGAGAGAAAGAGAGAGAGAAAGAGAATCAGAGAGAGAGAGAATCAGAGAGAGAATGAAAGAGAAAGAATGAGAGAGAGAGAGAGAGAAAGAGACAGAGAGAATCAGAGAGAGAATGAAAGAGAGAGAGAATGAGAAAGAGTGGGAGAGAGAGAGAGAGAAAGAAAGGGGGAGAGAGATAAGAGAGGGAAAGAGGGGGAAGAGAGATGAGACCGAGAGAAAGAGAGAGGGGGAGAGGGGGAGAGAGAAAGAGAGAGAGAAAGGGAGAATGAAAGAGAGAGAAAATGAAAGAGAGTAAGAGAGAGAGAGGCAGAATGAAAGAAAGAGAGAATGAGAGAGAGAGAGAAAGAAAGACAGAGAGAAAATTTGAGAGAGAGAGAGAGAGAATGAAGAAGAGAATCAGAGAGAATCAGAATGAGACAGAGACAGACAGACAGACAAACAGAGAATGAAAGAGACAGTGAGAGAATCAGAGAGAGAAAGAGAGAATGAAGGAGTTATGCGGGTAGTTACAGGAGTTCCTTGTTACTCCCATGGAACACCTCTCCTGCGCGAGCTGCACTGGCTGCCGGTTGCTCTTCGGGTCCATTTCAAGGTGCTGGTACTTACCTATAAAGCCCTACATGGCTTAGGCCCGGGGTACTTGCAGGACCATATTCTGCCTTCCTCCCACCATCCCATGCGCTCCCACAGAGCAGGCCTCCTCAGGGTGCTGTCGGCCAAACAATGTTGACTGGCGGCCTCCAGAGGGAAAGAAGAAAGAAAGAAAGAAAGAAAGAAAGAAAGAAAGAAAGAAAGAAAGAAAGAAAGAAAGAAAGAAAGAAAGAAAGAAAGAAAGAAAGAAAGAAAGAAAGAAAGAAAGAAGCACTTGGGGAAGAAGATGCAGCCCAGCAGTCCAGTACCAGAAGCCAAGATGGAGAAAACCTGCACGGCCACCATGTATTTCCCTTTGGCGCTCAAGTAGGTGGGCAGGAAGGAGATCCAGACGCTGCAGAAGACCAGCATGCTGAAGGTGATCAGTTTGGCTTCGTTGAAGGCCCCAGGCAGGTTCCTGGCCAGGAAAGCCACTGTGAAGCAAATGGCAGCAAGGAAACCCATGTAGCAGAGAACCACATAAAACATGGTCGCAGAGCCTTCATTGCACTGAAGGATGATCACTCCTGATTGGGAGTGCAGGTCAAAATCAGGAAATGGAGGAGAAATTCCCAGCCAGATTGCACTTTTCTTCCAACTCGCACACACTGGAGCCTATCAATAAGAAAATCCAATACCCAATTACACAAAGGTGTGTTAAATCCTAATAGGCCCGTTTTGTTCACCAACTGCTGAGGAATTATTGTGTTGAACGCCAAGCTAAAATCAAGAAGGAGGCAGTCTCACATGAGTATTCTTCTCCTCCAGGTGCGCCAAGCTAAGATGAAACATGCAGGAAAGTGCATCATCTACAGAGCGCTTCGTTGAATAGACAAACTGTAATGAGTCAAATATAGGGGGAAGGCATGAAACCATATAGTCCTTTACCAATCTAGTAATTTCTTCTCTGGGGTTCCTGAGTCTTTTAGGGCCCTATGTGCAGAGGTCTATGGAGCTTCTCATTCATCCAGGTCATGGTTGTCCCAAAGGTGCTTTTATTTCAAAGGCATCTGGACTTTCGAATTTTTCTTTAAGACATTTTGCTTCTCATCCAAGAAGCTTCATCAGAGGCAGAGTAAGATTTGGGGGGATGTGGAGTCATTACTGCATTTATTTATGAACTAATTGCCTTGTGGACCTCACTAGCTCTTGATGTCCTGTGCCCAATCACACACTTGCTGTTGCCCAGGCCTAATCATTTCACTTGCTTCTGTTCTCAATCCCTTGTGTGCATACATTTACATAATATAAAAAGGAGGGAATCCTCCCTTCTTTAGGCCCATCCTTTTGCCTTGAATATCAATAAGAAAAAAATGTGCTTCAACAGAAAGTTCTCCTGGTCTCTGGTTCAAATGTATCTTTAGAAAATCCACACACCTCCTTGTGAAAGTCTTTACCCTAGTTTCTGTCCTCTACATTTTTGCTGATTTTCCTTTCCAGCCATTGATACCATTGGTGCCATACAAGATAGTATTCGCTTTCTTCCTTTTCCTGGAGTTCCAGCGTCAATCTGTCCATTTCAATTTGTAGTGAAAAGTTATAACATTGGAATTAGACATTTAATAATTACTCTTTATTAAACTATATAAGCTCAATGGCATATATTCTGTTGATGACAAAAGAGTAAATGTAAAATGTTAGGTGGGTTTGTAGGTGGTGGGTTTTTTGTTTGTCTTTGTATTGTATTATATTGTATTGTATTGTATTGTATTGTATTGTATTGTATTGTATTGTATTGTATTGTATTGTCTTTATATCTGTGTTTATATTTTAATAATAAAATTTTTTTTAAAAAAAATTATAGAAAAAAAAAGAAAATCCACACACACACAACCATAGCATCCATGCATACCCACACCCTTTCCCATACACTGAACAGCAAAAGGAAAGGGGGAAAACACATCTATTATAACTGGGAGTCCATTTCTACCACATAAAGAAATGACTCATTTTTTAAAATTTAATTTAAAAAGCATTAAAGTATCAAATACCATTTAGTACATTTATTAACTGAGATTTCTGGGAAACACATGAGTGGTGCGGTGGCCTGGAGGTGGAGCTCTCGGCTCACAATCAAGAGGCCGTGAGTTCGATCCTAGATAGAGACAGATATTTCTCTCTCTTTGCACAATGAGAATAGATCTGTTGAACAAATCTCCGAATTGGCGTCTGGAAGGGCATCCGGCCAGTAAACACTCTGCTAGCTCCATTCACTTGCCCAGACTCCACCCCACGAGGGATTATGGGGTTGTTAAATGAAGAGGATGATGGTTTCTGGGAAAGACATACACAGAACTCAATTTTCTGTTTTATTTTGACATCATACGTTCTTTTGTATTCAGATCTGGTCTTAGGAAAATAATGTAACATTTGGGGAGAAAAATTAATAGCAACAATCTGGCACTGGAAGCCAACATGGAGAAGACTTGCATGGCAACCATATACTTCCCCTTGGTACTCAGGTAGGTGGGTACGAAGGATATCCAGACACTGCAGAAGACCATCATGCTGAAGGTGATCAGTTTAGCTTCGTTGAAGGCCCCCGGGAGATTCCTGGCCAGGAAGGCCATTGTGAAGCAGATGACAGACAGGAAACCCATATAGCCAAGAGCAAGGTAGAACATGACAACAGAGCCTTCATTACATTGCAGGATGACCTGAGAAGACTCTGAGTACATGTCCGACTCTGGGAATGGGGGAGAGGTGTCCAACCAGATGCTGCAGATGACAACTTGGACCCCAGAGCAAGAAAGTATGATAGAGTTGGCCAAGCTCTTCCCTAGCCATCTTTGCACTTTACTCCCTGGTTTTGTGGCCAAGAAGGCTAACACCACCATGACAGTTTTGGCCAAGACAGTAGAAATGGCAACTGTAAAAATGTTGCTGAATGCTGTTTGCTGGACAAGGCACGTGGTTACTCTTGGCTGGCCAATGAATAAGAATGAGGTCAAGAATGAAAACAGGAGGGAGATGAGGAGGATGCAGGAGAGATCACGATTGCTGGCTTTGACCATGGGAGTTTCTTGAAATTTAATGAATACTACGAAGATGAAACCTGTTGCCAAAACCAGGAACAAGGCAAAGGAAGCTAGGATGATCCCCAATATTTCTTGGTAGGATAGGAAAGTTTCAACCTTAGGTATACAGCCATCTCGGTTGATGCTTGGATGCTGACCCATTGGGCATTTCGTGCATTTTTCAGCATCTGAAAAGAACAAGATTAACATCTACCATAAAGCAGATTCTTCCCTCACATGCAGAGTTGGAATAAAACTAATAATAATGTCGAAGAATGTGTGTGTCAGCCCTGGAGCCATTTTCCCCCTCCACCTTCAGGGCTGCCACAACGGAGATGAGTCAAGCTGTGGGAACAGGAGGGGGGAGGTAGAGATAGCTGGGGGATGGTATATTGGTATAGTATATTAGGAATATGACATGCCTAATAAATCTATACTTTGAGGAACTTTCCTGCCTGGGAGTTTTGATTGCATTGAGTGTGTTACTTGGAACCCTGACAGTGTGTAGAGAAAGGAAGTATGCAGCAGTAGCTAGCAAGTTTAAGCAATCTATTGCAGAGGAGAGGAGAGGAGAGGAGAGGAGAGGAGAGGAGAGGAGAGGAGAGGAGAGGGGAGAGGAGAGGAGAGGAGAGGAGAGGAGAGGAGAGGAGAGGAGAGGAGAGGAGAGGAGAGGAGAGCATCTTTCTGCAGAGACACCAAGAAAAAATGCCAGAGGTTCACCAATAAATAAGAAAAAGAAAAAGAAATGCCATTTCTCTTCTAATTCCAATTCTTGATTGATCTGCTGTTTTTGATATCCTGCTCCCTATTTAAATTACCAGACTATTTCTTGTAACTCCCTATAAATTATACATATTAAAAGAAATTCTTTTTTTAAAGTCAAGTTTAAAAATGCCTTTCAAAACATGCTTTCATGAGCCAGTCAGAGGCCGTGGTCTTCCCAAAAGTGTGCCTCTTTTTCCTGCTATCACTCACCTTCCATGGTGGAGATGGTTCCTTCTGGACAAGGGAGACAATGGTAGCAACAGATGGGTTTCCCTTCCAAAACCACCTTCATGAATCCAGGATGACAGCTTTCCACCCACCTGGAAGTCGGTAAGGTCTGAGGAATGAAAGGAAGTACATCCAGAAAAATCAACATGTAGACCAACTGAATATCTCATAAACATGATATTTGGAGTGTTGAGACCTGATCAGCTGACATGAAAACTCAAAAGCAACAAAAGAAAATACACACATTCCCCAAAATTGTAATCCTGTTTTTGCCACATTTAGTAGAATAAAATAAATATTAATCCCAGAGTGTCAGCATTTCTACCTGTCCAACGTTCCTCTGGTCAATGGTAACTTTAAAATCCTGCGTTGTCTGTTTTTCTACACTTCCAGTTTTCATTCTTTTAACAGATTTGTTTGGAAAAACAATCCAGTTCAAAATGTCCAGGTCAGCTGTCAGATCTCCTTTCTCATCCAAATATATCCCAGCTATGGAATTATTGTGAAACTGAGGGCTTTGAAGGAAAGGGTGAAGCTGGAAAGGAAAGGGAAAGAAAAGTTTAGAAAGGACATTTGTTTGTTTGTTTATATGTATGTATCCTGCTTTTATTACATTTACAGATAATTCAAGGTGGCAAATTTATGCAACACACCTTCCTCCTCCTACTTTCCCCACAACAACATCCCTGTGAGTGAGTTGGGCTGAGAGAGAGTGACTGACCCAAGGACAGCAAGCCGGCTTTCATAGCTAAGCTGGGAGTGGAACCTTTTTTGTCTATGTTGGGGAGTATCTGAACATTTCTCTCTCTCTCTTTCAAAAACCAGATTTTATTTTCAGTTTCAAACTTGGTTAGGAGAGTATCAATAAACATAAGAATAATAACAGTTGCTTATATCATCAGATACTAAGCATCTGGGGATGCAGATAATTAACAATCTGAACTGGTCTCTCCACACATCATCCTTAGTGAATTGTGCAAACCAGCATCTGCATTTCCAGCGTTGGATGAGGAGAACGGATCTTTCTTCTTCTGTCCTGAACACTTTTTACAGAGGAATGATTGAGAGCACTTTAACAAACTGCAACACTGTTTAGTTTGATGGCAGCAGTGCCTCAGATAGAAAGCCCATACAGAGAGTGGTAAGGACAGTCAAGAAGATTATAGGAAGCTTGCTTCCTGTTATTCAGGATACTGCTTACTTATAAGCGCTATGTGCTTAGAGCTCAAAGCATTGTTAGAGACTCCACACACCCATTTTATGGTCTGTTTCTGTTGCTCCCCTCTGGGAGGAGGTTTCAAAGTATTTCTAGCAGGACTACCAGATTCTGTAACAGCTTTGTTCCCTATGCCACCTGTCTGGTAAACTCGCAAGATTCGTTTTTCTTGCCATGAACATGTATACATCCAAAGTAGACTGTGTTATTTCTGTGTGTCATATAATATAGGTGGATATATACGTATTTATTTATTTATTTGGTCATGTTTATGTAGTCTATATTGGAGGTGGTGACCCTTTGAGAGCTGTATGCAACGAAATTTCATTTTAATGTATGCTGATTAGTGTACATTCAAAGTGACAATAAAAGTTAGTCTAAGTCTAATCATGTTTAAAGATGTAGATCAGATCAATGATTGTAAAAGACTAGAGTTTTGACATACGCTCATGTTTCTGAGGTAGCTTTACATTTCATACCTTCCTTTTACAGGCACATTTTGTACCTTCATTTTAATTTAAAAGAGAACTTTTGTAAAATGATGTATATTTAGTATTTAACACCTGATAAGTTGTCGAAGATGTATATAGGAATTTCAAATGTATGAATAAAACAGAGTTGGGAGGGACTGTAGAGGTCTTGTAGTTGAACTCTCTGCTCAAGCAAGGAACCCTATACCGTTTCAGACAAATGGTTGTCCAACCTCTTCTTGAAAATCTCCAGCAATGGAGCATCTACAACGTCTAGAGGCAAATCCTTCCACTGATTAGTTGTTTTCAGGAAATTCCTCTTTAGTTCTAGGTTGCTTCTCTCCTTGATAAGTTTCCATCCATTGCTTCTTCTCCTGCCTTCAGGTGCTTTGGAAAATAATGTGTGTTTGAAATGCAATTGTAAGGGAGAAAGTTTTTATCTTCTTTGGTGGACTTGTGATAAAGCGGCCAGATTCAAATTTTAATACAGAAGATTGTAACATGAATATAAAACTGAAACCAAGACTTTTCTTTAAGGACTTCTGGACAAGGAAATTGAAAAAAAAAAAAAACAACCTTGCAACTTTGTGATTGTATATTTTGACGGCAGTAAGAATTCTTTATGCACAAAAATGGAAATATATATTAATCATCCCAATGGAAGAACAAATGGATCTTGCAGAAATGGATCAAATTAACTATTTTAGTTAACTAAAATAGTTAATTTTTAACTATTTAAAAAAACATCTAGTTTTCTTTCTACTTGGAAATCACTTCTGGACTTTGTGGTCAAGGGGAAAAAAAGAAAGTTATGCTTTGGGATTTGCTGATTAGATAAGTCAGTTATTACAGAAATGTCTAGTATATTAAGCATGTAAAAATAAATAGATGAGGCTGTACCTTATTTTTATACTACTGCACTGAAAAAAGTTGGAAGTTTTTAAAAAAATCTTTTTCTCCCTATCCCAAACTTTTCTTTTCCCCATTTTCCCTTCCCCATCTCCCTATTTTTATTTTTATTTGTGTTCTACATTACGAAATTAGATTTTAAAAATGAAATAAAAAAATCATTGTATTGCCTTTAAAAAAATGAAAAGAGGAAATTATTGGAAAAAATATGGATGGGTGGAATGGAAAGGAAAAAGAAAGGGAAGATAGATTGCAATTGGGTTGGATCTGAGTTTCAGGACAATTTAATTTTTCAGAATTAAATAGAAATACCTGCCAAGCCACCAGTTTTGGAGCTTCTACCTTTATGCCTCTGTGCCTCACAGATCTCTTTAATGTGGAGATATGAGCTGAATTTAAGGCCCTGCCCACAGCCCAGATGGTGCTGTAAGTGAGATAACTGTCCATAGCCAGGATCCGATCCATCTCCTCTTCCCTCAGAGCCACCAGTTCTTCTTTCTGTCTGCACCGCCTCCAGACTTTCACCGAAAAGTCATCCTTAGTGGAGGAACATGTAAAGGTTTTCTTTGAAAAGTTAACTACTGAGTCAACAAAGAGACTAAAAGCATCATAGTTCGCCCATTTCCTTTTCTGTATTAGGAAGGAAAAGAGCCCACCAATGTATTTAAAGGAAGCTTTAGCAAACATCAACTCGAGACTCAGGTCCCAGTGTGCTGTGGTGATCCAGACTTTCCCTACAATGGGTCCCTGAAAATGTTGAAGTATTGATTGTAGAATCAACATTCCAAAATTGAAGGAAATTATCTCCGAACCATAAACAGCGACATTGACTTCTCTCCACTTGTAATATTTGCTAAGGGTTAAAACTAGCCGATACAGATTTAGCGGAAAGCTTTGATAGATAACTGCACAAATGCCATTCCTTAACATCAAAGAAGACATTGTCCTCATGAACCTCTCTCCCTGGTCAGTTTCTGGAGCAACGAGACCAACCATGGTCCACTTGAAATAGAGGAGAAGCTGGACCATCCCTGGGTACTGGACTCCTTCCGCAGGGAGCATCGGGTAGAAGAAAGGAAACTGAGTTTTATCCCTCAGAATCCGGGAAGCCAAATTGTAACTGATCTGAAAAGAATTAACAGAATGTCAAATTAAAAGTTGGAAAAATTGGAAGGGACCTTGGAGTCTTCTAGTGCAACTCCCTACTCAGGCAGGAAACCAAATGGTTGTCCAATCTCTTCTCAAAAACTTCCAGTGTTGGAGCATTCACTGAGCATTCTGGAGGCAAGCAGACGGTGTTTGATTCAAAATTGCACATAAACAAAGAAGAGGGGGTCAATTTATTTACCAAAGCACCAGAAAACAAGACAAGAAACAATGGATGGAAACTAATCAAGGAGAGAAGCAACTTGGAATTAAGGGGAAACTTCCTAACAGTGAGGACAATTAACCAGTGGAACAGAAGTTGCCTCCAGAAGTTGTGGGTGCTTCATCACTGGAGGTTTTTAAGAAAAGAGTGGACAGCCACTTATCTGAAATGGCATAGAGTCTCCTGCTTGAGAAGGGAGTTGAACTAGAATACTTCCAAGGTCCCTTCCAGCTCTATTCTGATTGATCTTCTAACAGTTCCTCCAAGAAAGACATACCTGAGGGATTTTGTAGGTGTCCAACAAGGTTGAAATTTGGATGGAGATGCCAGTCTCAGCCCCTTCCAGAACAGCCACCGTGTTTCTCTGCCGTCCACATCTGTAGTTGGGAACATTGGCCTCCCCGTCCGAAAGCAGATCCAGCAACGGATCTGAAGTCATTTCTACCTTGAAGAAAATTTGATAAATATTGTAACCCAGAGTGATATTAGGCAAGAGGTGGACATTCTTGTTGATCTCCTCAGTGGCAAAAAGGAAGGGCAGAAATTTCCAATAATGATTGGATGATGGTCTGCAGATACAAAAGAAAGATGAAAATAACTTTCTTTCCTGATAATACTGTACTTTTCATCCACTCATTACAATTATTCCTCCAAACAATTTTCAAACTTTGAAACTATTACCCTGGGGGGGAAGGAATAATTGTGATATCCCTGGCATGAACTTTTGAATGAGAATCAGAGATATTTGTAAACTCTCAGAAGTTTGGCTATGTTCTTAATTGGGATGCTTGGAAACTAGGAGTAAATTTTGGTGTGGATAAACAAGAATGGCGCTATCGCATATCTGATGCAAAGAGAAAATACAGCAGTCTTCTGTGGTTGGATCAGGCCTCCTCGAAGTCCAGCTCAGCTGAGGGTTGAGGTGGAAGGGAGATGCCCTTTTGTTCCTCTCTGTCTACACTCTAACTCTGCTCATAGGACAGAAAGGAAATGGAATGGGGCAAACATTGTGATTGGGTTTCTAAAATTTAACTTCTCAAAATGAGTTTCATCACTTGCAGTGTGCAACAGAAGACAGAATCAGAAAGTAACTAAGCAAAAGGAGCAGAGAAAGGAGAGAAAGCACCTGGTGTTTTTGGAGAACTGGAACTGTAGACATTCATTGGAAATGGAGTGGCTCTAATGCAGTGCAGGACTTACTTAAGGAACTTGATTGAAGGACTTTGCTCAAAGCTTAATGGTTCAAACCTAGTGTCCCTTGCAGAGATTATGCCACTAATGAAATAATCTCCTGACTTGTAGTGATTGTCTGGATCCACTTCACCCTGCTCCAGAGTCAGGAGGCATTTGGCTTTGCGTATCTCACAGGCTCCCCTTGGCCACAGAAGCAGGAGAAGTTGAAGCAGTAGCAACATGATTTGAGCCTTCTCAGTGGCACCCAGTTTTTAACAATGGATGAGATGAAGAGGGGGAAGAAACCAAAACCTCTTCCAGGAAAGTAGCTTCAGATCCAGTCAGAGCCCATCCAAGAGACATAAACACAGCACCTGCCTGTCCTGAAATCCAGCTCCAGATTCCCTTTCCGTCTCCAGAGTCATTTATGCATCTAGTATTGATAATATAGACCCCACCAGACTTTGCTTTGAGACTGGTATTGATATCAAACCAATTTCTGACATGTTTGCGTAAAATGTTCTGAAAGTTTGCAGAAAGGTCTCTAGGGTCCTAACATGAAAACAACAATGTTGCAATATTTTCTGGATCAGACTCAATAAAGATGTTCAGAAGTAAAGGTTTAAATATATTTTCTTTTATTTACAATAGGCATTCTATATTCACTGAATATTCACAGATAGAAGCAAGGCAAAGGGTGAAGATAGCTCCTTATATATACAATGGGTGGAGCTATATGTGGGAGTGGTGAGTCATGAATACATTAAAGATTGAAGAATAAGTTAACCCCTGATATCCCATTCATACACTATTTACACATTAGGGAATAAGGCATTTACATCTGACAAATCCCCCTCTAAATGCCGGTTCGTTATACAACACCAATTACATTCAGATTCAGGACAATATAAAATATGCAGTTTAGAAGTCAGATATTTGTGCTGTTTAGAAGGTAAGGGCTTTGTTAATATGTCAGCTAATTGTTCTGAAGTATCACAGTGTATTGCTTTAATAAATCCATCCTGAGACAACTGTCTCACATGTTTAAATTTTATATCTATATGTCTGGACCTTTGTCCAATGGCATCAGATCTAGATATTTCAATAGCTGCTTTATTGTCTTCATGCATGACAAAAGGCAAAGCAGGTTTTTTCCAAACATCTGAAATTAAATCGTTAAACCATACAAGGTTATTTGCAGCTTTGGATAAACAAACATATTCTGCTTCTGTCGTTGAAGTGGCTACTAGTTCTTGTTTACCAGTGTACCAGTAAACTGGACAGTCATTTAAGAGAAAAATATATCCAGATGTACTTTTCCTGCATGACGTGTCTCCAGCCCAATCTGCATCTGCGTAACATACAAGCTTTGGTTCTTTGTTATCACTAGGTTCTAATACTAAGCAGAAATCTAGAGTACTTTTCAGATATCTTAAAATTCTTTTAACAGCTTCCCAGTGATACATTGTTGGTTTGCTTACGTGTCTGGATAATAAGTTGAGTGGTAAGGCGATATCTGGCCTAGTCCAATTAGATATATAGAGAAGTGAACCTATGATTGATCTATAAAATGTGTTATCCTTGAATTCAGGGGAAGATTCATCAGTATTTCTAAGAAAATCAGTTTGCATAGGAGTATCACAGGGTTTGGCATTGATAAGATTACATTTATTCAAAAGTTCTATAATTTTATCTCTTTGAGTAAGTTTGAATCCCCTTCTAGTCTTATTAATTTGGACACCAAGATATTTGTTCACTTTACCAAGGGATTTCAACGAGAAATGTTCATTTAACTTATTTACAAAAGTTTCTCTTCTCTCTTTGTGTTTTCCTATATACAAAATATCATCTACGTAAATCAATACAAACTCAACGTAGTTGTCACCCTTTTTGACAAAAAAACAGTTATCAGCAGTGGTAGCATTGAAATCCATAGTCTTAAGTACTTTTACCAAACAATCATACCATCTTTTACCAGATTGTTTTAATCCGTACAAACTCTTATTCAACAACCAAATTTCATTTTTGTTGGTGTATTGACTGTGAGGTGCTCTTACATATATTTCCTTATCTAGTTTCGCGTGTAGATAAGCAGTCTGTATGTCATATTGAAATACATCAAGGTTGAGTGCTGATGCTACCACTAGAGCTGTTTTGACACTCTCTGTTCTTACTGTGGGGGAATACGTATCAGTATAGTCCTCCGGATATTTCTGTGCATATCCTTGTGCAACTAATCTAGCTTTGTATAGAGTATTGCCTCCTTCTAAATTCTTAATTTTATATATCCACCTGGTACCAATAATTGTTTTATCTTTAGGTGCAATTGCAGGTGTAAATACATTTAATCCTTGTAAACTTTCCATCTCTTTCTTCATAGCTAGTTCCCATTTTTCTTTTTCTTCACAAGGAAGTTTTAACACTTCTTCATATGAGTTAGGTGTTATTGATTCACCATCCATATGCATTATGTAATCCCTGTATTTGTTTGGCATTTGATTCCTGTTGTTCCTAATGACTCTTTCAGGTTTGCTATTGTTATCGTGTAAATATCTTGCTTCCTTTTTGGTCAGTGTGTCTGTTCTTATTTTGTGTTGGCTATTTGTCCAAGTTTTAGTTTTGCTTTTGTGTTTGTTGATATTTTGTTTTTCTATGGTCCCTTCCTCATGAGGTTTTGTTTCTTTACATTTATTTGGAAATATTTCATTAAGATGTAATTTAGACCAGTTGGCTTGTTCATGGAACACAGCTGTTCTGGAAACTATAAATTTGTTATTATTATCAATGAATCTGTATCCTTTGGTGCCAGTTTCATATCCCATGAATTTGAGTCTTCTGGATACATTTTCTCCCTTTCTTCTCAACTGTTTGGGTATGTGTACGTCTGCAGTGACTCCAAATATGTGCATGTGTGCTAATTTTGGTTTCCTATTATACATTACTTCGTATGGTGTTTTGTTTACAATACTGGACCAGGTTCTATTTTGAGTGTAATTTGAATAATGTAAGGCTTCTGACCAAAATTGTTTGCTTAAGCCAGCATCCTCCAATGTGCATCTAATCATGGTTTGTAATGTGGAATTTTTTCTCTCTGCAATTCCGTTCTGGAACGCAGAAAATGGACTAGACGTGTAATGTAGCATTCCTCCGTCCTTTAACCATTGGGAGAATTCTTTAGACATGAATTCACATCCCCTATCTGTCATAATTTGTTTTATTCTGATATTGTGTTGTGTTTCTATGCGTTTGTAAAATTCCTTAAATTTTTGAAATGTTTCATCCTTATGTTTTAGCGTATAAACAAACCCATAACGGCTATAATCGTCTACTATTGTCAGGAAGTAGCGTTTTCTATAAGTGATCGATGGAGTTAATGGGCCTACTAGGTCCATGTGTACTAAGTCAAAAATTTTGTTAGTTGATCTAGTAGAGTTTCTTGGCCTGGGACTAGTTTTTAGTTTTGTAGATTTACATACTGAGCATTCCAAATAGTTTTCACAATTTTTTATTTTGACACCTTCTGCGTGTTCAATCATTTTTTGTACTACAGGAAAACTGGCATGTCCTAATTTCCTATGCAAGATGTGAGCACACTCATCATGAATTGGCTTACCTATTTTTGGTTTTTTTTTTATCGTGTGTATCTGTATGATTATGAGATATTTTACATTCATCATTGTCACTGTTGCTAATATTTTCATCATCTGCTTCAATACAATCTTCTATATTTGAATCAATGTTATGCAACCATTCTTCCTTGGTTATCAAATAAGGTAGGCCTCCTTTAATCGTTACAGTGCCTATACTCGTTTTATTCTTCTCTAAAGTCGCTTTTCCCTTTGAGAAAACTATATTAATGTCAGAATCTCTACTTAGTTTTATGGCACTTAGTATGTTATGAGGTATTTCAGGTATTAACAATACCCCCTCTATTTTTCCTAGACCAGGCAAAGTTACATTCCCTCTGCCTAATACTTGAACCTTTTCTTGGTTAGCTACCTTTATTACAAATTTATCTTCTGTAAATGAAGACAGTATATTTTTGTTATTGGTGGTATGATTAGTTGCTCCAGAATCAATAAGCCAATTATTGCTCTCATTTTGCTGTAATTTTGTGCTGTCTTGTTTATTTAGTCCATTCAGTGAACCAGATTTTCTATCTTTTGAATTTTCTCTGCCCCCTCTATTTTCTCTGTAATTTGGTGGGCTTCTATATCTATGTCTATCTATGGATGACTGTCTATAATTGTATTTGTTCCTATATTC